GATTTATATCACTCCTGTTATTGGTTTATGCTTATTGTATTATTAAATTAGTATTATTGGACATATCCTGACTGTGTGCCTTTGTTTGACCTTTAGTGTTGCGTTCTGGAGTGCGAGATATTGGCGGCCAGGTTCGCGGGAGACTATCTCGTATTCCCGTTCGTAACAATGCGATGCGATGGCCTACTGTCTGAGTGCATACTTTGAGGTATCCTCGTAATAACCTTATTATTATACATCTTCTCCTTCCAAGGATACAACATGGGAATGCCAAAATTCAAAATGTTTAGAACAGAATAAGCAAACTTCTTTGTGTGGAACCTGGTCAAACCCTGGTGGCAGCCATGTTTACGCGCATAAGCATTCCATATTTGGAATTCGCATTTCCTTATATGATAGGATGCAAATACCCTGTAAAATACCGCAAAACTACGACACGCTGTAACTTGTGCATTACAGTGACAGATGTATAATAATCTGTAATATTGCTAAATTCCCCATGACAGATATTTCAGATAAAAAACATTTTTATTTGATGGAACCTTTCACTTAGCAAAATGTCAAGAATTGGTAGTGCATTTTAGTACTAGTGTAGTACTAGTTTTAGCAGCATACGTTCTTAGGGACGACGTCAAAAGATCGATGTTGGATAAAAAACTTATTTGCTTTAGTTTGGGGGTGGGGGGTTTTTGACCTCAAAAAGTTTCCATCCTACAAAAACGATTGTATTTATTAATGAAGTTAAAAAAATCTTGGAGTATTTGTAGTTCGTTTTGTTTCTATCCAATCATAGACAAAAATAACAGAAAATGAAAAAAAACACATCAAAGACGAGAAAATGGTTTGGTCCGAGTGTAAATATGTGCATCAAATGAGGTCAATTTCATGGCATGGACCTACAGCATGCGCAAAACCCAGAAAAGTAGTTTGTGCATGCGTATATTCCGCTTCATTATTACAACCAACTGCTATGCCATATTACTGTCCGATTATCAATTTGTATTTAATGGTGAATGTACTCTGACGCCATGATCAATATTGATCAATTAAGTTTTTGACGTCGTCCCTTAGTCACATAATTTGTTGACAGTTGGTAATTAAGGGACTTGTTTAAGTACGTGCCTTATCAATGCCAAGATTACACAAAATACATCATAATATATATAAAAATTAGAGGTGTTCACTTACCAGGTAACAAAACTTGGAGTGAAATGTTGTTGAAAGAAAAAGAATGAAGCAGCGACAAGCATTACTCTTGCTGCAAATGATATCCAGGCAAACTGACCACATGAAAGCCGCTCAGTTAACCGTATAGACGAAAGATTCAGAAACGTTCCGAATAACCCACTGGAAAAAATAGACAGATTCAGTCTTATAATTATTTTCAGTAGCATTATTTATCAATTATGTCACATTGAGTATATTATATAATTTATTTATTATATTATTATTATTATTATTATTATTATAAGGAAAGGAAGGAATAGCAGCAACAGTGATATTAAATGTAGTACATGAACCCATCTTTAGATGATCAGATTGTATGCAGATTGCAGGGCCATGGGGTACCACATATATAGATGGTCAGATTGTATGCAGATTGCAGGGTCATGGAATACCATATATAGATGATCAGATTGCAGGGCCATGGAGTACCATATATATATATGATGATCAGATTGTATGCAGATTGCAGGGCCAATATCCTACACTACAATATAGTAGAATAACATAAATTATCTTACCTTAGTATACAACCAACATGGAATTTGTAATAAAACCAAAATGGAAAATTCTTCGCATAAAATGCATCTCCTGAGAGTAAAATAATGAAATGAATTGAAATAACTTTATAACACAATATTGGAGGTGACGAATGTGTTGCCATTAAACTGTTGTACAGATACAATAAGCAAGAACTGAGATGTACTTTAGCATTCTCCTTCCCAGAGTTCCTCGCTAGAACACCAAAAATAAATCTGCCACCACACATAGCAATTTTGTGGTGAAAAGCTACAAGACTTACTCTTGGCGTATTTTTTTGTTATTAGAGGGCTCTCCTGTTGATTTCTTCTTACTGGTAAACAAATTTTAAAATTTGTTATGGATAGCTGATGCAAATGCAAAGAAAATAGTGAAATAGTTATAATTTATGAAAACAGCCAACACCAGTATGGCAATGTTTTGATGGACATCTTTAAAAATAGTACCACTGTGATGTATCGACCAATCAACAACAAGCATAAGATCGCATGGTGGCAGAAATATATATTCATAGAAATAGAAATATGTATATAGAAATAGAACTCTGCATGGGAGAATTACACTTTAAGACATTCCCATAGAATTAGGTTAATCTATCTACCGGGTAATAGTGCATCAGAGGGTCATGTGAAACTTAAGTATAAATTTACTGTTACCCTAGGTAATAAATTTTACGAATAATACAAACAGACACTCCAAGTAATTAGACAACATACAAAGAATTATGAAACTTCTGTAAAATATGTAATCTCCCAAAGATTAAGGGCATTCCTATATGATCACATATACTGTAAAACACATTATTTTAGCTGGAATTAATTTTCGCTGAATAGACATTTTGGGTGTTTTGTATGTAAAATATAAGATTAAAGGTATATTCGCTGGATTATATTTTCAGTGAATTATTCTCCTTCAGCGAAAATAGCTAAAATTAATTCCAAGCAAAAATAAAGTATTCTACAGTATTCAGAACACAATTATATAATCTCACAATCAGATTAATGGATTTAAGCATGGAAGGTAATAGGAGAGAAGAGAGGACGAGAATTAATCCAGATTTATAGATTTTGTTTCAAGTCTGATTATCAATGTAAATTTTTGTTCCAACCCATCAGTGCTTCTGCTTATCTATTCAACAGGTTTGAAAAAAATCATGACTGCAACCTGCTATGTGTATGAGAAAAGAGACAGCAATATACATGCGCAGAACGATTCACATGGCGTTATAAGTCATTGACAATGCCTGCCACTGGAAACAAAATACTTGTTAGATATTTTTAAGAATGACTGCTTCATTCCAGTAATAAAATTGATTCAGTTTGTAAACTGGTGGAAAAACATACATCTTGTTGCCTCCTGAAATATTTTGTTTCCTGTCTTTTCATGACAAACTGACTTTTAAATATTTGGAGGTGTGAAATATGATACTATGACCCCAGTAGGGTTATGTAAACTCATTATTGGATCACAATATTAATTATTAATATTGAATCACTGAATATATTACTGGGGTCTGTGATTTGCACATGTTGTTGGATTCTGTTATCAATAATCACATAATAGAGGAATGTTTACCAAGTAAATAAATCAAAGCGATCTTGGATCCTCCCCCAACTACCTTCCATGATTTGAGGTACTCCAATGAAATATGGGCACAAATTGCTGGAAAGCCTTATTTTTTTATTTGAGTGATTTACTGTGATGTGAAGACCAAACCAAAAGCAACAATTTTAAGTAGATTCCAGAGCTACAGAGGAATACATGCCTAGGGTGTTCCAATTTAAGTAACCAGTCATTGTGTGCATGAGTAGAAAGATGTGCATCACATTTGGGCAAAGTTTTACCAAAATATGAAAGAAAGAAAAAAGAACCAAAGAAAAAAAGATTCTGTTCTGTTGAATGCCTCAGGACCAGAACTACCAGTATGGTACACTGTGGCGCTTTGAAGGGGGGGGGGGGGGTTGTAAAAAAACATTCTGGTCCTTTTGTTCTCCAAAATTAACATTGGTGCACATTTTTATTATTATTAATGTGAACATAATCATAATATATTGTGTTTTTATTTTTATTTTAGTGTTCAATGGGTTTTTTTTATTAATTTTGACGAAAATAAAGAACAAAAAAGTGTTAGCACACACATTTTGAAGTGGTGTACATTTTGACCAGAAACACGAATGTTTTTCACTAATCTGACTCTATAAATTGTAACAAGCACTATTGATAGTACAAATAACATGAGTGGTTTCTTACCAAGTATAACAATTGAAGGTATTAATACTACCACACTCAGTAAGTAGTTGTGATAAAGTTTATTGATTTCACTGGAAACAAACACAAAAAAACAACGTAGTTATTTTTCACCTTGTGGAGATAATGTAATATTCCATTAATAACATAATAAATAAAATGAATTGTTGGAATAAAATAAAATTACTGATTGAAAAAAAAAAATTGAAAAAAACATTCAGTACCCACTGGAAAAAAGAAATATTTAATGATAATAAAATAACAAATGAAATAAATAAACTTAGAACCTATAAGAACTTTAAATTGGTAAACTATATGCTCAACAAAGAAAAGTATTACAGGTACATGTACATGTATTTGAATCAGTTTCTATGACCCCAATAAAAAAAAATTACATATAATGCGATATGCAAAATAGTTGTACTTGCGAAATTCCTCAAAATTAGCCTAAATGTAAGACAGAAACACCCCCCCAGACAACCTAACATTTTCTTATTACTTTTGTGTGTGAGCATGCGCGTTTGTTTTTATAAGCATGCTTTTTAGTCAGAAAATAGTCGCTTATCTGACAAAAACATTTTTTTTTTTTACCTGAACTTTTCTCTAGAACAATTTTGTTTTTCAAATTTTGTCAGCATTTTAGTGATTTCATTTTAGTTTATTACTTTTAATACCTTATTACCGGTATGTGTATTTTAGTGACTATTTCCTTTCCCCCTAGAGAATGAGTAAGAGTCAATAAAGTTACTATTATTATTATTATTATTGTGTGTGTGTCTTGGCTCAGTGGGTGCACCCTTGAATGCCATCATTTTCCCTTCAAAATGTTAGTCAAACTGTGACGATTTGGGACTACTTTAGTGCATGTGTCAGAATACATACTTTGGTAACGGTGTTATGTCACCAGATCACTCAAGTGTATTAATATGTAAAAAGTAATGCTGTTGGTGTAACTGAAAATGGCAGAAGAAACAAGCTAATCATGAAAGCTCTCTAGTTTCTTTGATGTTTTGTGTGTTCCTGAGTCAACATGTCACACAAACATTGTGCAAATTTGATTTTTCTTAATTTCATTGTTTTGAACCAAATAATTTTCTACAGGTGTCAAGAAAATTTTTTTCAAGTAACAAATTTGATAGGGAATAAATGATTTCCCTAGTTTATTGGATCCATAAATCAACTTTTTGATTATTTCCGAATTATAGTGCTCTGGTGTGTAATTGCATTTACAAAGAAAACTGCTGAGAAATTAAGCCTGAAAATCACCAGAAAATTCAATTTTCTGACAAAAATTGTGAATAAATTTCTAGCTAGCTAACTGTTGCATCTATTAACTAAAGGTTTTAATCCACAATACTGGGTAAACTGAGTAAGGTTTAACTATGTGAGTTCAGTACCCCTACTGCTTTTACAGATAAAAATCTACCAACCTTTCACTTCGGCAATCAATACAATAAAAACTTTTATATTACCTATACATTCAGTTTGATATTTTTAAGAGATTATATATTATATAGATTATGGTTAATGAGTGTGATCTTTACTAGACAGGTACTGGTACTACAAAAAGTTTGAATGATTAAAGTTTAACTGTAGTAAAACTTACCTAAATTTGGCAGATTTTCCAAAGTTGGCGGAGAATGAAGAGTAGAAAGAATTAAATATCACATGTGCTGCCATCCAGAAATAACCATCAGAGTCAAACTGAAATAGACAACCAGAGATTTTATACAAGATGTATTTTCTATATACAAAAAAACCATCTTTAAAAACAAGTCATTGTTAATGACATAGTTCCTGTTTTAGAGACGCAAGATATATATATATATATATGACCTAATGTGTGATGTATGTGTGAAATTTAAACTTGATTGGTCCAGACATGTACGAGTTCTCTGTATTTGCAAGATGAATGCCTGTCAGCCATGTGACAAAAAAAAATGCATGCATGTTTGTCTGATATGTTGTCTGTATGCGAGAAGTTTGAACCAGGCATGTTGAATATATGGATCGGAAAGTGCATTCTTTGAAACAAGTGGAAAATGGAATGTATCAAGGTTCAAGGTATGTACAATCGGCCATTTTGAATCAGATCATGAAACAAATGCATTTTTCTGATAAAATTTCTGAATATTTAGTAGAAACAACATTCATAATTGAGTCAATCTACTATTCGCTGTAATTAGTAGCAACAACATTCATAATTGAGTCAATCTACTCATCACTGTAATTAGTAGCAACAACATTCATAATTGAGTCAATCTACTCATCACTGTAATTAGTAGCAACAACATTCATAATTGAGTCAATCTACTATTCACTGTAATTAGTAGCAACAACATTCATAATTGAGTCAATCTACTCATCACTGTAATTAGTAGCAACAACATTCATAATTGAGTCAATCTACTCATCACTGTAATTAGTAGAAACAACATTCATAATTGAGTCAATCTACTATTCACTGTAATTAGTAGCAACAACATTCATAATTGAGTCAATCTACTATTCACTGTAATTAGTAGCAACAACATTCATAATTGAGTCAATCTACTCATCACTGTAATTAGTAGCAACAACATTCATAATTGAGTCAATCTACTCATCACTGTAATTAGTAGCAACAACATTCATAATTGAGTCAATCTACTCATCACTGTAATTAGTAGAAACAACATTCATCTATTATTATAATATTGGAGTACAAAAGCTATTTACACACATCTGAGAAACAGATGAAAGACCTGTACATATAATTAAATACTGTTAAATAATATTTCAAAAATAAGAAATGAGTCAATCTACTCATTAGTCAATTTTCAGTATTTTAAGTCAAGTTTATATATTTTAACATATATTTTATACCAAACTTTTCTTTTTTTATGATACATTGTAGTAACACAAATTTATAATCAACAATAATTCAATTAAACAAATCTACACAGACCTACCACAGAAACTATATACATTTACATGTATTCATATATTATTTATTATTGTATATTTTCCATGAGGATACCTCTTATGTTACAGAGAGGCTACAACTATTAATATAGTGGGGTCACATTAGAGGAAACGGGAATGTCTGCTTGCCAGTCTTGGTAATAAAGTTTTGAGTTCTTAATAGAAGCTATACATCTTACATGCCATGTTAAGAATATTTACTACTACACTTAACATATCATTCTCAAGATGCATGAATATGAAATTATACTGCCCTTACCCAAAATAATGTGTATACATACTTACCATGGGATCATTCTGCCAGACCAATAAACCAGAAACCAACAACCATAATAAACTAGTCGTGAAATAAAGAATACAAGTTATAACCCTGTATGGATCTTCCATATTCTATTCAAAAATTCATTTAATATGAATTACTTTATTTTAGCTTGACCTTAGAGTTGTTAATTTTCATTCATTTAGTACATGCAAAGACTATAGAGCCAAGATCTGCTCAATCGGCCATTGCCTCATCTTTGCAAGCCAAGGTCTGCTCAATCGGCCATTGCCTCATCTTTGCAAGCCATGGTCTGCTCAATCGGCCATTGCCTCATCTTTGCAAGCCATGGTCTGCTCAATCGGCCATTGCCTCATCTTTGCAAGCCAAGGTCTGCTCAATCGGCCATTGCCTCATCTTTGCAAGCCAAGGTCTGCTCAATCGGCCATTGCCTCATCTTTGCAAGCCAAGGTCTGCTCAATCGGCAATTGCCTCATCTTAATCAGCCAAGGTCTGCTTATTTGGAAATTACCTCATCTTCACCAGTCAAAGTCTGCTCATGTAATGGGATTGACCGACTCACCTCTCACATTGAAACAATAAGTGAATGACACGATCTAACTTGATAGGACGACTCATCGCTTACATCGTTATAGCCAGTATGAATGAATGTGTGGTAGATAAATTTGTGAATAAACATGGACGATAAAATAAATTGTTGTACAGCAATAACAGCCTCACCTGATTTGAATATCAAAAGATGGTATTTTTCCTTGAACAGCCCATTCCAATATTGCAACTATGATATGACCACTATTTTGAAGTATTATAAAAATAGGAATTGACTAGGAAAAAAAACAGAAAGAAAGAAAAATATTGAATATTGAAATCTTTTATCCAATCAAGTCATCAAAAATAACATCATTCCCATTGGTACTTCTTTAAAGTGATAAGAGTTGTGTAATGTTCATACTAAGTATGAATAAAATCAACCCAGGCAAGCCTGAACAAAAGTTTATGACACTTTGATATTTTAGTGCTTATTGACAAAATAGAACCCAGCCAGTAAATTTCATCGAAATCCAAAATAACATAAGATGGTAATTAACCATTATGTCTTGTACTTGTACCAAATATAAACTATGTGAAAGTATGTCTGAAAAAAACAAAATGGCAATCAGTCTGCCATTTTAAATCATGGCCCAAGAACCAGCAAAAAGCAACATCTTCTGCAGTACTGTAGGAATTAGTAAACATACTATTCTTGACAAGGCCCAGGAACCAGAATATAGCAGTACCCTCTGCAGTACTGGTGAAAAAAATAGTGAACTTACTAATCTTGATAAGGCCCTGGAACCAGCATAAATAGTACCAATAAATAACATTCCCCCAATCCACCAATCTATCACTGTTGATCTGTTGACAGGAATTAATAATGAACATAACCAGCATTTGGTACAGAACAACAAATTTTCAAACCTGGACTGACATCATGGAAGTCTATGGGCAGTTGACTTGTTTTAATTCACAAACTGACATTGAACATTAAAATTTTAGTATAGGAACACAGACATTTGTTTACAGTGAACATGATTTTCGGTGAGAATGTTATTACCATACTAACATTTCATTGTGTGGGTGTGTAGTGGTCAAGAGAAGATAAAACCGAGGTTACGAAACAACATCTTGTGGTCAGGCAAAACATTAGTTGCGTTCACGCACAGCTCCTTAGCACGGGCTAAGAGGTCAAATTCTGTAGCCCGTGCTAAGAAAACGTGCGTGAACGCTTAGCACGGGATAAGGAATGCTAAGTACGGGTTAAATTAGATCCGAATTTAAGAGGCGATCTAGACCTTAGCACGGGCTAACGAAGTATGCGCGAACGCTTAGCTCAGGGCTAAGCGCCCTCTGCGACGACCTTTGGGTGTGAAAATTGTCCCATGTTCGTATAACGACAATATTCCACCAGTCATTACTCCGCGCTCGCTTCCACACTGATAGGGTCGATGTGTAGTAGAGCGTACAGCAGCTCCAATTGTAGACAAAATAAATTTGGTTCGCTGTCTACGACATGCATTAATAAAACTCTGTATTCTGTTATGCCGTTGTATACTGTTTCTGTGCATCCAAATAAGTTGGGTCCGTCTTCTCTCGCGTTCCTGTGCACGTCGCTTCAAAATTAGAACGAAACATGCCAGCAGCAGAAATAGAACCTCGCGCGTGTCATCCATTTTTCGTTCGTAAATAGCGGCTTACCAAAGGTCACCGACTAATGGCACCCCTTAGCCCGTGCTAACGACTGCCCTCCCTGTGCGTGGACGCAATTGGGTCTAGCCGAAATGCAAATATGCTAGATAAGCCTAAATCAGCTTAAATCTTAGCCCGTACTTCGTGTAACGTGAACACAACTATTAAGTGACACAGATGTAATATTAGCTAGTTACAAAGTTAATTGTTTAGAAGCAGGATTATGGTCTTAGGATAGGCCCACTCCTTATTTTTAGACAATCAATGAGTTGAAGGCATCCCCAGGTATACGGTATATTACCTGGCTTTAACAATTGGTTAATCTTAAAAATAAAAATGTTGTTTATTATAATATGCATGAAACAAGCCACCTTGCGATCGAAAGAACTCTCCTGTAAATGTTAACTGTGAGTTGGAAACGTAGGGTGGAGTGATGTTGATAAGGTTTGGCACCATAAAAGAAACTGGTCATTGTACTATTACCAGTTTGAAAAAATGGAGATCGTATGACATGGCCAGTCAGGACAAGATTTTTAAAACTTAAAATAAAATAGAGATTAAAAGAGAGCTACTGGTATGCAATATTGCAGATGTAATCAATCTATAATCTGATAGGCTGTGATCATTAATGGCCCAGGTAGTTCAGAACCCATCACAATGTGTACTGAAAAATACCATGGAAAACATTGGCCCAGGTAGTTCACAACTCAACTCAACGTGTACTGAAAAATACCATGGAAAACATTGGCCCAGGTAGTTCACAACCCAACACAATGTGTACTGAAAAATACCATGAAAAACATTGGCCCAGGTAGTTCACAACCCAACACAATGTGTACTGAAAAATACCATGGAAAACATTGGCCTAGATAGTTCACAACTCAACTCAATGTGTACTGAAAAATACCATGGAAAACATTGGCCCAGGTAGTTCACAACCCAACTCAATGTGTACTGAAAAATACCATGGAAAACATTGGCCCAGGTAGTTCAGGTAGTGTGTGTTGGCCCGTAAAAGGGTCATTCGGTTTATGCTTTTACAGTAAAAAACAACACAACCTGGTTCACACTCTTTCTGAAATAATCGGAAGCAGGTCGTACCGGCTATTCAAAATGCTAAAAATTTGACTGTCATGAAACCTGGTCATAGGACATCGTTTCACTTTTCAGAATAATCACAGTGTCCATTACGACTACAATATCCTAAATGGGGTGTGAATCAGTAAACTATATGCTTGATCTGTTGACGACTCTGAAAAGTGTTAAATATTTCTTTTAAACCTGCAATTTTTTTAACAATGTGATAATTCACTTCCGTATTCAGTTTTAAAAATGTCATTGTCGATTTCTGAAATCTTCAGAAAATTGCATCAGTATGACAGAGCATTCTGATTGGTTATTAATAACAGAATTGACCTGTCAGGTCAGAGTAAGCTGTTTCAGGTCAAGTTGTGTAGAAAAATATCATGGCAGAATCTGCTCTGCATCGACAAGGTTGCATACAATCGAAAAAATTCAACAACGAAGATAATAATGAAGATTTTGACTTTGAATGTTTTCCCACAGACCCCAAATGATTTTTACACAATAAATTCAGATCATATGTAAATTATATTGTAATAAAATGTGCATATTTTTTGTTAAAATGTTCATTGTAAAATGATGTGGAAATCAATAACAATAACAACTAATTTTGCAATTTTATTTTCCCCAAAAAAACATATTTCCCCTAATCCGGCACATGGTAAATGATAGATAATTTTTTTATTCTTCTTCATCTTTTTTGGCGAGGTGGGCTTCGGTTATATGCCCAACCCTTATTTACCCTGATTTTACAACTGGGCTTATGACAGGGATAGTACGGTAATGGCATATTTCTGTGGTTGAATATGGTCTTAATACCAATATATTTGTGCTATATAATTAACATTAACAACTTTCTGACTTAAATTATAGGCATAACTAATATTTTCATCTTCAAATAGAGAAAACAATTGTTGCTATTGAGGATACATACCTTGTAACGTTACCTGTATCCATGGATAGGCATTGTCCAGCTGTTGTTAATATCAGAAATCCAATCAGAGTTTGCCAACCTTGAAATATTGTTGGATAAGTGAACTGTAATACTGACAGAACATACTGTAGACAATAAAACACAATATGTTATCATTTTATTACCACTGTCAATGAGGTTATGTTTTTGCCACTGAATATTTGTCTGTCTGTCCGTATGTCTGCCAGTCTGTCTGTGCAGTGCATGCCCAAATTTTATATGCAGTTACATTTTGTGAATTTTAAAATAATTTTGTCATTTTAAAACCCAAATTATGAGCTTGAAATGTGAAATGACGGAAGATATCTACCCTAACTATGGTACCAAAGTACCTTTCTGTGATACAATTCCCATTATGCAAGCTTCTAACAAAAAATGCCATCTAAATTTTATAAAGACTTGTTTCAGTGTTTCATTACACCTTGTACATATTCTCTTCTCCTGTTGTATTTTTGGTGTTGTTCTTCTGCCTAATTCAATTCCTAAATTGTGATCGCTCAAACGAAATTTAGACAGACATTGCCTCTGAGTAAAATTAGTAATTACTGTCAAGTAATTTTCCATTTCAAGTTCTTTTTTAAAAATACTATGTTTTAAATTTGTTACCGGTACCTTGTCCAGTTTTGCCTTTGGTATTTTTAATTTGTTCTTTCCATGTCTGTTTATATGTATCTGTCAGCTGTGATTGTAATTCCTTTGTTAGTTGTTTTCTATTGTTACCATTGTAGGTTTCTTCATCATTTCATCATCATTGAGAATATTTTTTACATATTTAATCCAGTCTGTGTTATTTTTTTCTGATTCTTTTAATGAATCTTTCTGGTAGAGATTTTAATCTGTGCCAGTATTTAGTGATGGCAATATTTGATAGGGAACCTGCCAAGTTCACCACTTATACCTATTATAGGTGTCATTTATTAACGCCATGAATAAAACGATAAAAAGAGCTACAGACCTATTCTAAGACATTGATTTTAATTAGTAATTCACAGGCCCATATTTCTGAACTGTACAGTAAAATTGGTGATATAAGTTGGTTAAACATTTTAATACATATAGTTAGTACAGTGTTTCTTATTGTAAATAATACTTTCATGGATTCATTTTTCAACATTATAGTCTTTTCGCCATCAACACATTGTCTTTTCTGCTACTCTGCAGTCTATTTATCACCTATTCAAAAACTTTTCACACTGCTGAACTATACATTGAGGTCACGACTCGGTTAGCCTTGCTCAACTGGTTCGTAACCAGTCTTGTGATTGGTTGTTGACAAATGCTGAACAGGCCACGCCTCCAACTGTGCCGTGCGTTTGGGCAAACCATTAGGAATCCCTAAATGGAGTAAATTTGTGTAGTTTTCTTGATTTATTCTGCAGATATTGGTAAAATGTAGGTAATGTAGGCTTTGGCGAAATTGGAAGGAGTAACTAATATTCTTCAACCTCGTATTTTTTATACATTGTATTTTTCATTTTGTTCGTCTGTTTTTTCAAGTTTAAAAATATGAGCTGGCTGGAGCCTTCATCCCTTGTCTATTTTTTACACTAGATACCAGCCAATACCCCCCCCCCCTGCTCATAGAGACTGCTACTACATTTGTTTATAGTTCCTGGGCTCCCCGTGGTTTAATTAGATAATCTGAACTGTATTTTATTAGTTCTGAACAATAACCATCATAACCTGCTGACTTTTTAGTTTCAAGTTTACTAGTAGCTAATTTAATTTCCATTTTCAGTTATGTGGTTGTTTAATGTGTTATATATCTGTGTTTTATTTTCTAGCTCATTGGTAGTAGAAATAATGTTTTTCTGAAAATCATTCAAATCAACTTGGACATTTAATTGTTTGTAGTATTCCATCCATTTATCAGATGAAATTGGGATATCTTTTTCTTTATCTGTATCTCTTAACAATGATTATAAAAATGATTTTCTTATTTCTCATGGTGATCCCAATAACCAGGGAGAGGTATTTTGAATATAATACTAAGTGTGAATGCAACTATTTATATCAGTAAATCTACATATGCTTTAAGGTAACAACAGGAGAAAGTTAAAAATTGCTCTGTGATTCAGATTTTGTCAGAAAACTTGTCACCGTTGTTTCTAGTACACATCACCCGAACGTTAAGTTAAACTCTCCTAATAGTAGGTCGACACAGTGAAGTTGTGACGAGTTATCTGCCACGCTAACCATAAACATAACAGAGCCACAGCTGTGCTTTACATGTAGTGTAATTATAGTGGCGGAATCACGCACCAACAACACAAGTATGCCACGTAAAACACTAGTCGTCAAATGATTTGAATTATTTTGAAATTATAGTTTGGTCTCTGGCGACTACATCCACGCCTGAATACGTTCCAAAGTAGTTGCACGGATGTTTAACACGCACAAGCAGTTCGTCTATAAGATTTGCTGTCAGTCGGAAACTACAAATCGGTCGGTTGCAAATACAAAAACTACCTACCTTGTTTGTAAAATGTGTCGCGATGTAAAGAACGACAAAAGCAGAGATGATCCACCATGATTTCATTTGTGTGCCTTTATCATTTTACCTCTAAAAATCTAAATATTTCACAGATAATGTGCCTCCGAGACACGACACCAGTTTTGAATGAACGTCAGTGTACGAACGTAAAGTTAAGAAGGATTCACGCCGGGAATTCACGTCAGATTCTTGTCAGATTCGCGTCAGATCAGTTTACACACATCATTCAAATTCGTTAACAGTTGTTTAACAGAAATGTAGCTGCACAGTATCAATATTTTAGATTAGTATTTAGACTCGGTATAATAAAAGTTATTATGAATTAAACGACTCCTGGGTCACCGCTACCCTGGGCCGCTACTAATGCATAAATAAAGCGTTTTCTGAATCTGACACAAATCTGAATCTTCCCCCAACTTCACGCTCGTCAAATCGTGGTGGTGTTTCCCCGGTGTGATCGAAAATTTACTATGTATTTCCTCCAGTAAGGGATTTCCAAGACGTGTGGAAATCAGATAAAGGGGGGTTGTATTTATGGCAAATAATTAACAATAAAACAACCACAAACTAAAACATCAACACTATTTCCACAAAATATTACTTGTAACAACGAATCCATCATTATAAATAATTATTCGTTCAAACATGTATTGTTTCGACAGACTGTCTGTATTTTCTTGTCTTGAAGATACATCGCCCTCTAGAGCCAAGTTCTTGGTAATACGTTAATTTTATATGGGGCGGTTTTCTTATAAACTCTATCATATAGTAAGTATCCTGGTCTTCGATGATTGCTCTGGGCAGTTGCTTTTTTGGAGCCAAGTGAAGTTTCTGAAAAGGGTTTTACAATTTAAGTATGCATTATTAACACTGTAGTAACAAGAGATTTTACAATTGTTTTTAAATCGCTACTCTCAGCGTAACAAAAGCATTTCCTATATCTTTATAACTATTTATAGATTTCACAATTCAAACTGAAATGAGAGGGGTCTATTGTAAGATTGAATAACATTAAAACGTTTTCAAGTGACGTCGTTGCGCAATGTGCTCGTTCATTGGCTGGTTGTATTAAACTGCCATTGAAATTTATAAATATTTATAAAGATTAAGAGAACATCTTTGTTGTGCTGAGAATAGTTTCTTGCCGGGGGAAATGGATCATTGCGACCTCTAGTGACGACGAAAAACTAACACCGGCCAGTTTAGTTGTGTAACCATCGCCAGAGGGCGCATAATCATACGCGGCCGGACTTTTCAATATTTCGAACAAGAGCTTCTGTGACGCAATGGGTTTATGGAATATTAAATAGAATAGAATAGAATAGAATAGAATAGAATAGAATAGAATAGAATAGAATAGAATAGAATAGAATAGAATAGAATAGAATAGAATAGAATAGAATAGAATAGAATGTGCACCCGCTTAAACAATACTTTTCTAATTTGATTTTTGTACAATAAACGTTTTGTTTTCAATAAATTAATCGTGACCACAAACTATTTCTTTCGATTTCTTATAAATATTTATAAATTCCATAACTCAAACGAATAACCTTGGAATTTTTTCAAATGACGTCATCTGTGCTTGTTGTTTGGCCGGTTAGATTCAACTGTCATTGACATTTAGGAATACTAATACTTAAAAAATATCAAGAGGACGGGCTTTTGGTTGCGATAGTAATAATAATAATTCCACAAAAAGAATAGTTAAGTTGAATTTATTCAAATTAATTGTTTGTTTGTTTTTGATAAGTGCAATGAAATTTGTCAGCTGTAGAAATACACTTGTTTCATGAGACTGTACATTTTGATTCATTTCTAGATTTTAAAACACATATCAAAAGACGGTCGTCTCTATGAACGCCCATCCACGGCAATACAGCGTAATAATAACGCATGATGGGTGACCAGAGGAAGGATATAGCGGTAATCCGAAATAACTTTAGAGAATTAGACAAATGCCGATACGAGACTCCTGGTCAACAAGATACGTATTTACCGTTTTGGGCCGGGCAAGCCTTACCGACATCACGTTCAATCTTAGGTTTGGGAAAACTGCGGAGAACGCGTCATCAGTGTTAATGTACTGTAAATATCCACATTTTTTACTATTTTGAAACTTTTCGAGCATATTTTCCACTCTTCACTCCCTTGTTTTGAATTTGTGCACCTTTTGATTCTTAAAATAACTGTTATTTAACGGCATTTCAACAAAGTTACATGTTTGTTTTCAAATAAATGTAGATACCGTGACGTTGGCCTTCTTGTTACAAAAAGGTGATTGAGGCCGAGTCAGTTATGTTTGCGCAAAAGAAACCCACGGCACGTTTTACCAAAGGCGGACCACATCCCTCTTGACATGCTAGCTGTGATCGGAAATCTACCTTTGAAGTTTAAAATATTACATTAGATTTCTGACACGTGTCCTTAACATGAAAGAAGTACGCCAAAAAAACTCACACATAACGTACAACTATGATCGATCTGTTTTGACAAAATGTCGAGGTTAGTTGGTGATATCTTCTCAAACAAAGGCCGAGCTTACATGGATTGTTTAAATAAACTACTGTAGCGCCAAGGATTCCAACATCAAATATTCAATGTTTCCATGTGGGTGTGTGCACGACAAATAACCACAATATGGCAGTTTTAACAAATCCGTGTAACATGACAGAATTTGACGACCAACTTCTAGGTCGAATGCTGTAAAAGACGCAAACCGGAAGTGACCTGTCCTTGGCGTTGAACAGAATATTTTCTGTTGAAATTCAGTTGCTCTTTTCAACAAAATATAATCAAACTTCCTTTATTTGTCCGCGAGTAAATGAATGAATGAATGAATTAACGATCGAATGAAGGAATGAAGAAATAAAGGAAGGAAGGAAATTTTTTCGTTCATGTTCACCGTTCATGTTTAAGCCGATAACAATTTTAGTGGTCGAAATTGTATTTGAAATTCAATTATCATTGGCGATTCAACTATATATTTTCAGTGCACAATCCCCATATATATAATAACATAGGGATGGAATGCTCTCTTTAGAATGTTTTGTATGGTTCATAAGGTTGTACATAAATAGTAAAAGAGCAGCTTAAAAATTGATAAACAAACAACAATTTCCATGCAAGGCTATGACTTTGCGAGCGACTTGTCGCCCGTCTCGTGCAAATTTGATACATTTTTCTTTGTGTTTGTTTACGTGAAGATTGGAAATCAGCAACCGTCGGAGTATAGTGAATTTTGCATTTCGTCGTCATCTGAGAACCATCTTCATGGACGATAAGTGTCTCTTCTTATATCACTATCTCCGTTCATGCGGGTTGTTCAGCAAGTTTGAAACTTAATTAGCTCTCACATATGCTTTGACGGTTTGATCAGAAAATTTCACACTATATCTACAGTCCTAGTATCTTTGCAAACAAAAGAGCGTCCTCTTTTTTTTAAAGCTGTTCGGTCTCTGGCGACACGATAAGCAGCACACATATGACGACCGACATCCAGCGTGACATGGCGAGCAGTCGGCCACGGGACGTCCACTTTGGTCCAAATCTTATAATGTACGCAAATTAAACCATGGTTGGGTATAGGGCGACAGATTGGCGCCATGACGACAGGGAAGCTTACGTACTGCATATCGTACTAGTATTGACAGTGGGTATCTATCCCCCCTCAAATAATACAAAGAAATTAATTAACGTGACATGATACACTCTCCCACAACAATTATAATGATATCTTTTAATTCAGTTGCCTATCCGAACTAGTACTCTTTTTCACGAATAAAGAAGCATTAATGACTAATAATTAACAGTGCGCCATCTATCGATAGAATGCGTTTATATCGACCATGATGATTTGTTATTGAATTCCATTTATGATCAATAAGATTTGGTTGAATATATACTCCAACCCTCTGCTTACCAACATAAGTTTGAAAGTAATTGGTATAATAATTACTTGAGTGTTTGCAAACCTTTAAATCTACGCTTCAGAATTTTAAAATGCGCTAGTCAGGATCAATTATCGATTTCAGGTAAACAGCTACCGAACAGCTCTATCGAACTCGCATTACGCACTCGGACTTATCGATATACTATGAATACAATCAGATAATTAATTTGACCTGTCTCATTTTGTCCTCATGGTTTCTGTGCGTTTGGAGGATCTTCTCCGGTCTCTCGGTGAACTCTGACTTGGTTATCTGATTTATCTTATTGAGTTAACCCGACACGTCCGTCCGTCCGACCCATATGTGTGTTTCCCTGGGATGTGCAACAGCTCCGTATTGTGAATGTACAGTACCGAACACACCATGGTACTGCCATCAACAATAAATCTTCCATCGAGAATAATACTAATTTTAAAACAGGGGCAGAGTACAAGAACAAAATAAAACAGAGCTATGTTGATGAAGTGTCCCTAACAATTGGCTGTGCCGAAGTTCGAATAATGAGTTACGACGTTGCCAGCGCCAAAGCCAACCATTCCTACACCACACGCCAAATACTTATGAATAAAACGCGTTCAACAGCTTCTAGAAAAAAAACAAGACATAGCACCGCCCGCGGCTTCAACCATTGGTACAAGAAATCACAGATGTCAACACACAATCTTCATACTAAACCCTGTAAAAAAAAACATTCCCTTTATCTTTATAAATATTTATAAATTTCACAACTCAAACTGAAACGAGAGGATTCTATCAACCGATTTAATAACATTGGTTCCAGATGACGTCGATGAGCTCTATGCTCGTTGATTGGCTGGTTTGATTCAAGACAATGAAGGGAATGCTTCTATTGCGCCCAGAGTACTTACCATTAGTCATACCATTGCTTGTTATATTATCATATGGGTGGTCGATGAATAACTTCAAGAGTGTTCTATATATGGATAAATCTTAGCAAATGTACCTTAATGTAATTGGTTCTCGACAAATTTTATTAATCACTGTTGTCAACCTCCTACATTTTAATAAATGTAAAATATAATTAGTAATTTAGATAATCAATGCAATGATTGGCTGGTCAGTGTAAGTCCGTTAGAAAGCGTTACATCAGAGGCTCATTCGCGGGATTATTTTTTTAGACGCAGACATTCAGCACATACTGGAGCGTAGTTATTTCTCAC